AGCCTTCTGCAGGGATGAACACATGCTAAATCTACCCCACCCAGTGCCCACGTGGCTGCTGGGCACGTGCCCCGAGGCAGGTGCAGCTGCGAAACGGCATTTCCTGGCTCAGGCTCGCAAACCAGACGGCGCAGGTCTGGAGCGTCATGTTCCCAGAGGAAAGGCACCAGGGCCTAGAAATGTGGGGCGTACGAGAAGAACCGGGCACAGCTCCCAATTCCTGGCCTGTGCCGTGGGTGGCTGGGAAAATCCAGCCAGAGGCCTAGCTGGCCACGTCAGGAGTGGACCTATATTTACCTGAGGCAGAGAGGCCGACAGGGAAGACCATATGGAGACACCTCAGTGACGAAAGCAGGCAGTGACTACCTTGACTCCACGACCCGATCACACTCCATCACCACGGCCCTCCTGACCCCAGCCCGGGCACACCTGAGCACGCCCGGCCCAGGCCTTTCCGGACAAGCCCGTGGCCACAGCCCTCACAACACTGACTGCGCGGACTTCGCAGGATGTCTGTCTCTCCCCCTGAGCTGCAGGCTCTTCCCAAGAGAGAACGTCTTCCTCTCGGTGTCCTGATCCCAGCGCCCAGCACACATCAGGACTCAGTAAATCCTGGATGAATGACAGGGTCTGGAATCCACCGCGAGTAGCATTAGTACTTTTGCCGTTAACCACAAAAAAGAGAGCAATTAAACAGGTGGCATGGTAGGGTCCACAAAAGAGAAGATCTTTTCTTCCTTGAGTGACTCAAACATTTCCAAACACATAAATCCAGATTTCAGAACCCAGCATCACATGGTGGCTCTGTCTGACCACAGAACCTCATTCCCAAACCCACAGATGCATGGGCAAGAAGGTGATGTCTTTCGGACGACAGATTCAGAGCCTGCAAGTCTGAGATTTAGAAGAGCCGTTTTTCAAACAAGTCACACAAGGTTAAGATTCAGAGTCACATTCTTGCCTAAAGGCCCAGAGGCCTGGTTCCCACTCTAACCGCTGGGAGGGACAGCAAGGCCCCTGGGAGTCTTGGGGGTCTGTGCAGCCTAGAGGCTAGTACCACCCTACAGTTAGAACCCTGTGCTTCTCACAGCACTGAGATTTCCAAGGTAACCAAGGACAACAGAGTAGAGAATTATGGCCCTGGAAGGAAGAAGATTCAATTTGACTACTTACGAGTCAACATCACATTTATTTTTAAAACTCGTGTGTGACAAAGCCACACGAGCGAGGCAGGATGGACGGTGCTCTGAAGGAGAGTTGAACTATACACACAAAAATTCTAGGTGTGGCTACAATCTTTCCCTATTCTGAGACCATTTCAAAGCGCCCAGAGACTCAGAGAAACTAAAACAGAAATAATGCCCACCCCAAAAGGAGGGGAAAGCTCAGTTTTCAAATTTATGCCACCACTACTTTTTTTTTTTTCTGTTATTTCCAAAAACACAGAATGTATTCCATAGGGCAGCACCACACTTCGCTAAAATGGTGCAAAATAATTATTTCACCCAGAGAAAGTGATCAAGTGAAAAATTTAAAAACACAGCTCTGTGCTGACCTACTGCCAAGAGAACAAACTGGTTAAAAAAATAAGCAGGTTAACCCTGGCCGGTTTGGCTCAGTGGTTAGAGTGTCGGCCTGCGGTCCAGAGAGACCCGGGTTTGGTTCCCACTAAGGGCATGTACCTTGGTGGCAGTTTGTCCCCGGCCCTGGTTGGTTGTGCGGGTGGCAGTCACTCGATGTGTCCCTTTCACATCGATGTTTCTCTCTCACTCTCTTCCTCTCTCTCCCTCCCACTCTGTCTGAACAATGCCCTCGGGTAAGGATAAAAATATAAATAAATAAATAAATAAATAAGCAGGTTAATAGACACAGAGTAGCTTTTCACTCACTCATTTAACCGTTCATTTCTCCACCTTCCTACCCCCTCCTGCAAACCGCATTTTGGGGCCCAACATCCTCACCAGGTTTTGTGGATTAACCACAACCAGTTAAGCAGTTAGTTAGCACTCATTAAACCAGTTGTCTGTCAGGTATTGTCCTGTGTATTTGCTCACTGAACCCTAACCACAGTTATCCTGACTTGAAAGCTGAGGAAAATGCAAAATCCTTAGGTAGCTCACCTGAGTTCACACACCTGGCAAGTGGTGGACCCTGAACTTGAACCCTGAACTTGAACCCAAATCTATCTGACAAAGGACTAATTTAGAGAAGTCAGCATTACCTGGTAACAGAAAGCTGCAGCTGTTTCTGAAAACAGCATGGAGCCAAGTTCAAATTCCAGTTCTTCAATTTGCTCTGGAACCTTGAGCAAATTAACCTCCCTGAGCCTCAATTTCCTTATGTACAGGCAGGGTTGAGCAATAAATACAACAGATGTAAAATTCACAGTATAAGGTAGGAACCCAATAGCTCCTGCTACAAGTGTGCATACCAAAAAAAAAGAAGGAAATTTCAGTTTGTGAAATGAGTGTTAGCAGACATAACCTATATTTGAATTAACAGGTTCACAAAAGTTAACCTGTTCAAAATTAGTTTACTAATTCCATGACTCATTTGTTTAAACATAGGACAAAGGGTCACAAATTTTCATTTATTTCTGTTAAATCAGTAACTTTGTCACACTACCCATTCTCATGCCTCTTTTCAGTATGAAAAGTAGATGGGTGATTAAAACCAAAATATGTGGGCATCACTGGTTAATAAAACCATATATGAGACAAGTTTTGGTAAACACACTGAAAAGAGCTTTATTTATTTATTTATTTATTATTGTTTTTAAATGTTTGGGTTTTTATAAATTGATTTTAGAAGTGAAGGAACAGGGAGAAAGTGAGAGAGAAACATCGATTGGTTGCCTCCCGCATGCATCCCAACTGCGAACTGAACCCACAACCTGGGCATGTGCCCTGACCGGGATTCGAACCAGCGACCTTTCGGTACATGGGATGATCCTCAAGCAATTGAGCCACACTGGCCAGGGCAAGAGCATTATTTAAATGAATCCACAGTGATCCTTTGCAGAAAGTAAACAACTGTCAAATTTGGTTCTCATATCCAACCAAGTTCACACATGCACCATCCTAGTACGTACACTGGATTGGCTTCAAGTGAGACAGACCTGTAATGATTTCAATTTTTTTCACATTTGAGACATTAACTAATTTTTGTGCTTAGCAGGCGACATGGAGCAAGCTTGCAGTTTAATAAAATGACCAAATCCAGGCTCTGTAATCTGCTCAGTAACTGAGCTCAAGGGCAGCATACAGAAAGCTTTGGAACTACACACTGGAAACGAAAATTAATCAGAGAAAGGGTATGCCAATTTTAACAGCAATTCCTATTTGCCTAGCTCTCCAACATCTGGCACAGTTAATAATATTTAACTGACAAACTGCAGCAGGGAAAAGAAACAGAGCTTGAAGCACAATCAAGGTTTTTTTTTTAAGGCACTGGGTACAAAGCTTCCTTCCCTTAAGAAATACTCAATTTCCTTTCCGGTTGCAATCGTTCCATTAACATTATTAATGGTGCATTTTCAAAACATTATGAACATTTTTCTCTTGCCCTGCACCTCTGGAAAAAAACTTCTTGCGACCCTCCTGTCTGCCTCATTTGAAGGCATTATTTTTAAGCCTTGCTGAGACAAACAGAATTAAGTGAGGTGGGTCACAGAACTCACTATAAAAGGTTTACATGCAGCTCTCCTCGGTCTCCACCCCCCCCCCCAAAAAAAGAGAGAGAGAGAAGGAAAGAAGGAGTCTGGGAGGATGCCCTAGCTACTCTTAAAACAGTCAGAATGCTGAATCTGTTACTTTTGATTTAGCCTATTATTGACTGTGTCTACAAAGAAAAAAATTTCCATTAAGAGAAACATTCTGGATCCCCCCCACCCCCACCCCCCGCCCCAAGCAACTCCTAACAACCAATGCTTTGTTCAAGTGGGCAAAGAAATGAAAGCCGTCGCTTACTTTAAAGCTCTCTGGTGACCTCCCCTCACTCACTCTAGCCCAATCATCTTCTAAACACCTACAATACCCCCATTTTAGGGCTCTAACTTGACGTTCTGGCCCAAAGAAATTTAATCATCTATCCAACATCGGCACACATCTGGCTTGCAAACCGGTTACCTATCACCAGAGTGCTAAGCACTTTACCCAGTGTCTCTGACCCTCGTCACAACCCTGGAAAAGACGCACTACTAATCCCTTTTGATAGTAAGGAAAATGAGGGCAGAGGTAAGGAGCTGCCCCAAACCACAATCGGCGGTGGCCCTGGACTCACAAACTCCCCTGCCGTCGCTGCCTGCTGCCTTGAATGTCCATTCCTAAGTGTTCTCTCCGTGGGGTGTGGAGGGCTTCCTAGTTAGTATTAGGCGTGATGACTTTGCACCTTAACCAAAATCAGGCCTTTTCCAGGCTGCTGGGGAAGAGGCGGTCGGAGGTAACAGGTAAGACGCAGGTAACTGGGGCGGCTATCAAAGGCCCTTGGGCCAGAAGCCCAGCCGTCCACACACCGTCCTGCACCCTCCCCCGGGCGCCGTTCGGGATCCCCTCGGGCCTTTCTGCCGAAGGTGCGCACACCTTCCCCGGCGGCCGGTTCCCGCGGGCGGACTCGGGTGAAGGGGCTCGGCGCGCACACCTGCCCCGCGGGGCGGGCGGCCGGCAGGGGCACTTCTCGAGCAAGTCGAGGCGGGCGCCCGGGACCCCGGCCCCGCTCGGCGCCACCCCGGCTTTCGGGCCGAAGTTGGGAGCGCTGGGGGCACCGGCCCGCCGGGCCCCGCGAGGGACGAGGGAGGAGGCGGGTCTTAAAAAGGCCCGAGGTAGCCACCAGCGTGCCCTCCGAGCCACCTACGCGGAACAAAGGCGTCTGTTCCGGCGCCAGGAGCCCGGCCGCGGCCGGCCTGGAGGCAGAGAAACTTTCCCGGGATGCGGAGCGGCCTGCGGGGGCGGCCGGGCGGGCACTACCTGCGGCGCGAGCCCCGCCCGGGAGCGGCGCCTCACCTCCTCGATGGCCGCCACGGTGTTCCGGCACTGCGCCGTGCGCGTGGTGAAGCTCGAGGCCGTGGGCGCCTTGTAGTCCTCATGGGTCTCGGCCACGAATTCCGACACGGAGATCTGGTCCGGCATCTCCACGGCGCGCGCGGCCGGCCGCCGGGAGCCGCCGCCTCAGCCGCCGCGCGGGCTCCCTCCGGCCGCCTGGACGCCGCCTCGGCCGCTCACCCCGCCGGCGGACAAAGGGAAGCGCCGGGGCGCGGGCCGCCGGAGCCGCAGGAGCCGCCGCAGGGCGCGGGTGGGCCGGCCGCGGGCCCGGGCGGCGGGAGCAGAGGCGGCGCGCGCAGCCCCGCGCAGCTCGGGCCCGGCCCGTCCGCCCGCCGCGCCGAGCGCTCCTCCGCCGCCTGCGCCCCGAGCGAGCTCCGAGACCGACGCGCAAGCCGGCGGGAACTGCCCGCCACCCAGCCGCGGGCCCCGAGCGCGTCCGGCGGAGAGGGGCGGGTCCCGGCCGGGGGCGGTGGCTGGCGGGGCGCGGGGCGGGGCGGGGCGCGGGGCGGGGCGCGGGGCGGGGCGGGGCCGAGGGCCGGGCCGCCAATCCGCGCGCTCGCCGCCGCCGCCGCCGCCGGGAAGCTGAGCCAGCAGGAAGGGAGGCGGCGCGCGCCCGGCCCGCCGAGCCGCTCGCCCCTCGCCGCGCCGCATTGTCTCGGCGCTCGGACCCCGCGCCGCGCTGGGACTCGACGACGCGCCCGCGGGGCCGGGCGGGCTGAGCCGCGTCGGGCTCTCCCGGGCACTTCCAGGCGCCGACCCCATGCCGGCTCCCCGAGGGCGCGCAGGGTGCGCTCGGACACCCTCCCCGGCCTAGGCACAGCCCACCTCCTCGCCCCTGCCCACCCCAGCCGGGCTTGGAACCTTTCTCGGGGTCCCCCTCAGCGGCCGGGCCTCCCCGACCCGGCGAGGGAGAAAGTGTGAGAAGCTCGCCCCCTACCGGACGGTGCGCTCCGCCCTGGGCGCTCACGTCGCGTGACAAACGCCTCCTGCGAGTTGCCCGGCAGCGGCCCGCCGCCAGGTTGTGGTTCTGTGACAGTGACAAGAAATGACCGTAGATGAGTGCGTCGTTGTGCTATGTATACTCTCCTAATCCGCACAGTCTGGCGAGGCACGGAAGGACAAGTGCCCAAGAGCACCCGGTGACTGTCCCAGTGGCGGTTCAAATCCATGTCCCCCTGACTCAGAAATCAGTCGGGGACCTTTAGGGTGCTGTGGCCACCCTCGCAAATGTCCCAGACGTGCTTCCTAAATGTATACAAAGTATAGGGCCTTCTTGGTAACTTGGAAATAGTTTTAGGGTCCCAGGCCAGTCCCCACCCTGGGAAGATAACAGAATCACGGAGCTTTTTCATATGGTTTCAGAGAGTACGTAGCCATAATAAAGTAGTGGGCAAATCACAAGCGGAACTGATCCAGTAAAGACTTTGAATCAGTAAGGATTTTCATATAACAGCCCTTAAAGAAACTCTCGTAGTTATTTCTAAAAACCCAGAAGCTCTGAAGACACTAGCAAATAAAATCACACCCTATATATAACTCTATACCAGGCCCGTGGCATGGTTTCTGTAGCTGCCAGCAATAAAACCAAGAGAAACTTTACAAAAACCTTTTGTGCATCTGACAAGGAGGAAGTGTGAGAGACGTTAGAAATTCAATATGTCAGACAAAGCAGTCTCCTGACTGCAGGACAGTGGACCAGTCAAACAATCTTTTTAAAGCTCCCATGTAAGAATTTGCTATATGAGGTGGCAGCTTGGGTCAGACGTTATGTATGGCCTTTGGTATTTTAGTAGCATTGCATGTGAAATTTAGCTTTCTTAAATAGCTGTGTTAGTGAATAGATTTTATTACTACACTAAGCAAAAAGTTGCAATTTTTTAAAATGTAGCATTACTTCTATCCTCCCTTTATGGTTTTGTTGTTGTTTGTTTACCCTTTTAGTGGTTTTCTCTATTTGCGACTTGCTACAGTTCAAGTCCTGTACATATTATTTATATTCCTACATCCTCTCCTACTCCAGGCAGATTCTGGGCCTTCCTAGCTCGTTTCGCAGGTACAGGTTTTTGTCGTTGTTGTTTGTTGACATTGCAGAATATCCTGATAACTTTTCAAGTCTTGTTTTTTGGAGGACGGGTATTATCAGGCCCTGAGGATTTAAGAAGAGAAAGTAGTGTTTTTCTTGGCAGGTAGCACAGCATTAACCAGACCCATCAAGACTTCTACAAGGACAAAGTTAACCTTAGTGTTCTCTTCTTTTCTGTCTTTATATACAACTCCTTTTCTTTTTTCTTGTAGTTTAATATAACTTTTCAGGTTTTAAAGGGCCCTCCCTCCCTTTAGCAGCCACAAAAATAAAATTGCAAAGCTGCATGGCATTGTACAAGTGGATGAGAAGCTGCTGGAAAGGAAGTCATCACCAAGCCCGTTGCATCAGTAGTGCAAATAGGACATCTGGGGTAGAACACTAGAGCAATGTATTCTTCCACTCATCCCTAAGAATCTCAGATGTGGACCAAAAGGGGCCACATGCTAACCACAAGCTCAGGGAAGGCCTGCGTGGCAGCCTTGCGAACTCACAGGCCTAAAGTAACCACAGAGAATGGTCTGAAATTTAAAAACTTTTTAACTGCAAGTGCTGGCGAGGGTGTGGAGAAAAGGGGACTCTAGTACACTGCTGGTGGGAATGCAGAATGGTGCAGCCACTATGGAAAACACTATGGTGTTTACTCAAAAAATGAAAAATTGAATTGCCATTTGACCCAGTGATTCCACTTCTAGGAATATACCCTAAGAAGCCTGAAACACCAATCAGAAGGAATATATGTACCCCCATGTTCATAGCAGCACTATTTACAATAGCTAAGATCTGGAAACAGCCCAAATGTCCATCAGTAGACGAATGGATAAAAAAGCTGTGGTACATATACACAATGGAGTACTATGCAGCTGTAAGAAAGAAAGATCTCTTATCCTTTGAGACAACATAGAGGGATCTCGAGAGTATTATGCTAAGCAAAATAAGCCAATCAGAGAAAGACAAATACCACATGATCTCACTTATATGTGGAATATAATGAACAAGGTGGGCTGATGAACAAAATAGACCAGGGAGATAGAAAGGAGTATGGTTCAGACTGACAAACCTCAGTGTAGGGGGGCAGGGGAGGGGGATGGATGAGATGAACCAAAGAACTTATATGCACGTATGCATAACCAGTGGACATAGACAACAATGCGAGGGGGTGGGAGGGGCGGGATGGGGAGGAGGATGTCTAGGTAGGAAAAAGGAGACACATCTGTAACAAAAATAAATTAATAAAAATTGAAAAAAACAAGCAAAACTTTTTAACTAAAAGCAGTGTGTGGCATGTAGCTATGTCCTAGACTAGAATCTTCCCTGACAAATGTCAGTCCTTGGGGCACAACCAGTGCACCAGGGCAGAGACCATAAATCCTCTCATTGTTATTGTTATCATGTTAATTGTTAACTGTTAATTATCCTGTATCCACCTATGCAAAATATGTATGTGTCTATCATTTTACTTTTTATCCAATCCTAGAGACCCCCCCACCTTTCTCCCACCTCCCTAATCTGTCACAAATGGATTTCATGTAACTCATGAACATCTCCTCTTTTGATTGTAATGTATAAAATAAGGTGCAAAAGTGCCATTCTCTGGAGCATTTTCTCAATCCATTGAGATTTCACTTCCCCACAAGTGTCAACAGTTTGGCTCGAATACACTCATAGAAATTCTCTATAGGTTTGAATGTTTCTTACATTGACACAGAAAACCCTGCCCAGTGCAACAGACGAAATAAAGCAAGATCAGAGCAAAACATAGCTAATGCGTCGCTGGCATTAATATAATGAGAATGAGTAGTTTCCAACAAGTAATAGAATTAAAGTTGGATGTGGATCAAGAAAACATAATATACACAGAAACACACACACACACACACATTTTTTTAATGCATAAAGAGAAGGCTATGCTGATAAGGCCATTATAGGCCTATTCTCCCTTATCCAGAACATTAAAATCTAAATAATCTAAAGTAGAATTAACTCTTGTAGTGGTAAAATTGACCCAAAATGAACTGACATAAGGCTACTTATAGTCTTGTTTATCCCACTTCTTATGAATATTTATGCTTTGCTACAAAATATAAAATGTGCTCGATCATGGAGTAGTGCCTCAAACCCTCCTGAGGGTGACAGATTATCTAGTATTTTTGCTGTATTACCCATTTAATAATCTAAAACTTTTGCATTCCACACATATCTGGGGTTTCCGATAAGAGGTTGTAGACTTGTATTACCTTTTAAGAAAAAAGAAAGAAAAAAAAAAAATGGAAGAAAAGAATCATGGTGTTTCAGACTTGTCATTTCCAGGGGGAAAAAACTCTCCTCTCAAAAAATGAAAATTTTAGCAGCCCACTGAGATTGGCCAACAGCCCATTTTCCAAAGGAATTCTCTGCCTCCTGCAGTTTTCAAGAACCCAAGTTTTTGACTCTCGGATCAAAGTGTGTAAAACGTTCTTATCTCTGAAGTTTGCTTTGAGGGTTGGCTGGTTTAACAGACCTGTCTGGTTCACTTGCTGTTAATTTGTATGATTACTCTTGGAATGAACAGATCTGTGCCTTAAAGGAACTGTGGTGAACAGTAGGATGAAATAGAAAAAACAACAACGAAACACCCAACTACCAACAACCTGAAGGGTTCAAGCAGCTAAACATAACCAGAAGTTTCTTTTCCTCAGCTTAACAGGACTCTCCCAAAACAGTGTTGCTGAAGGGACTCATTTATCTCCAAAGTGAGAGAAACTTGAATCCATCTACCATTGTGACCTCATCTTGGCACTTTCGGGGGGGGGGGGAGGAAAATTAGCACAGCAGAAACTATTTCACAAATGGAAACTTAGCTTTTGTTATCAGCTTTGCTTATCTGTGCCTTTGGAGAAGCAAATTAACCTCTCTGGACTCCATTGGTTTGAAAGTGAAAGAGCCTGGACTAGCTCATCTCAAAGGCTCCTTCCTGGCAACCTGTGATTCCATGATCTATGTCTTACGTTTGGGCCCAGGAGAG